GGGTTATATCATGAATTTCATATTATGATGTTTTTGGTATATTTGGGTGGTATTATGCATGATCGGGTGTTGAGTCTAGCCTAGGACTTGCGTTTAGGACTTTGCATATAGCTTTCTTGATGTTCTTGTGGTTCCGGATGTTCCTGAATCGTTATATGATTTATGTTAGGTCTTGGTATGTTTAGGAATCGTGTTAGGATGTATTTGGTGTGATTCTTGGTTTAATTCCGTTAATTGAATACGTGGTGTTGTCATTATGTGTTTGAATGTGTTTAGACATGGTTTCGGGTTCCACGAGAGATCCCGGGACCGAAAGTTGCCTATGTATCAGTGGGGGGTAGGTGGGGGAGGGGGGGGGGGGGCTGACCACCCGCCACCTACCCGCTGCCCGTGTCGCTGTTCCAACGGGCAGCCGGCGCGCGGTGGTCTGCCCACCGGCCACCTGCTGGAATAGCGTGTGGCCGCCGGCGGGTGGCCCTCCACCCGCCACCTACCCACTGGAAATCGGTCGAGTGTCATGATGATTTCCCCCGTTTGATGTTTCCCCGTGTCCCGTTGTATCCCGTTTGTCGTGTATGAGTCTCGTTTGGTGTTTTAGGCATCGTTCTAGGATTTTATGTGTATTACGTGTCATTGTTGTTGTGTCTTGATTGTTATGTGATTATGTGTTGATTGATTGAATGATGATGAGTATCGTGGTCATTGCGCAATGAACGGTGTGAATGATGATGACGATGATGATGATGATGATGATGATGATGATGATGATGATGATGATGATGATGATGATGATGATGATGAGATTGTGATTGGTGGAAAAGAATTGTTGGCGGTTTGCACCACTTGTGCCCGGTCATTGTACTAAAGGTACATGCCATAGTGGTGACTGTGCTAAAGGCGCACACCCACCTTAGACTTGCTTGCCGTTGAGCATGGGTCAGGTTATAAGTGTTGCGGTGTCATGTTAGAGCTATATGCGCTAACCCCTTGATAGTGGGCACTAGAGGTGCGGATCAATGAATGGCACTGCGACACCATCTTGATATGTTGGTGGTTGATAGGTGGTTTGTCGGTGGGGGAATGTAGTTGCCCGGAGGCATAAGGGGTGGTGATATAAGGGTGGCCTGGAGGTATAGGTTGGAACTGATATAAGGACGGAGGGGAGCTACAAGGTTGGAACTTGGTATAAGGTTGGAGGTTGAATTGTGTGCTTTGATGACTACTTGCTAAGTGAATTTATTGAGTGCCTTAGTTGCCTCTACTTGTTATTTGCATGCTTATCTGCATGTCATGTCTTGTATTGCATGCTTAGGGTGTCTATTAGTTCTTATGATTATCCTATGATATTGGGTCTGTTAATATGCCTTGAGTCTTGATCTTGGATTTAAACTAGAGTCTCGTAAGTATATATGTATTCCAGTTTCAAAATTAGTTTCTTAATCTACCTATATTGTACTTAACGTGTTGGAGTGGGTTACCAGCATTATTCGCTGACGGTTGTTACACCGAATGTTTTTCAGGGACAATGAGTAGCTTCGAAGCACGCTAGTGGATTCGTGGACTTAGTTTAGATAGTTCTAGCCTGGATGAAATGACATGGGTGCCTTGATTTGTATTTGGGTATTAGTTATGGTTTATGCTTTGTTAGTTAGTTTAGCCTGTGCATCTGAGTTCTCCAGCTCAGATGTGGCATAGCACCCCGACTACTATGTCTAGTTTATGCTCTGTTTGGGAATTAAGAGATTAGCCTTTATTTTATAGGTTTTAAATATCTTGATATTTAGGGGTGTTACAATACTTGTATTAAATTTAGAACCCCTCATAATGTGACCCCATGAGGGTTTTTATACAAGAGATTTGGGCCTTGAAAAAGGTAAGAAAGAAGAAATTAACTAAATTAAACTTAGGAAAGTTTCTAAAACTTCTAGATTAACTTCCTAATAAGAAAAAGGAAAATTCATCGCCACCATTGGAAAGAATCTCTGCAAAATCTTCGTCCACCGCCTCTGGAATCGGCACCACATCGGAACACATTCAACTGCGTTGAGTGGTCGCTCAACCGGGCTGACTAGCGGGCTGAACCAACGATAGGCAAGAACTAGGTCGTTGGGTCCTCTCTCTCAAATATTCTAAGGGATTAAGCTTCACCCTCCTGACTGTCTCGGGGCACACCTGACTGGGTACCTTACTAGGGGTATCCATCACCAATTCCTCACTTTCTTAAAATCTAGCCAGATGATGTCTTAAGAAAGTATAATTTAGTAAGTGTAGTACCCGGGGATCTGAGTACCGATTGCCGAGAAGATTTCCCTCAAATTTTCAATCTTGCAATGTAGTTGAGTGCAAGGCCGCAGCCAGTCAGGCTAATGCCAAAACCACCTAAATCATCTCAACTCCTCGTACACCCCGACTGGTTCCATTTTTTTTTTACTGGTTCCACAAAAGATGTAATTACTGAAGCGTATTGAATACTCCTCTCCACTTCCAGCCAGTTACAATTTTGAAAAAGTAACTCTAGCGTAACCGTCTTTCATCAACTCTTCCAGTTGACAGCAGTCGACTACGCCGCCTCGGGCTATGTACATATCCGTACCTAGGATGGTTGTCGGTTTCTGGATAAGCTAGAGTCCTCCCACAAGGGCTGGAAAGAAGGGTATTTCATCCGGCAAGTTGTGCCTTATGTCGCCATCGACGTACTACCTAGCAATCGTCGTACTACGCTTAGAGAAGAGGTTTTCTTGCCCGGACGCCTTAGTCAAGCTAGTCAAGAGGATCGACGAGGGGGACCTCATATCTGCCAGGAGATGGTCCCGGCTGCGTGCAATGCAGGTACCAGACATTTTACCGGATGACGCGACTAACACAAGCTCGGGTACTACCCCCTTCTTGACTAACTACCCCTAAGCTTGCGTGCTCATCTTTTTCACTCGTTCTGCAGGGAACAAAGACACCGAGGAGTTGGGTGAAGATCAGGAGGGCGACAACAATGAGCTGGTCGTCCACCACTCCACTGCTTCCGCTGTTGATGTAACACCCAGTGTTACGCCCTTTAATCCCATATTAATTATTTAATTAATTCCGTTAAAGAATAGTTAAAAAGGATTTAATCTGGCCAGGATCCCTTAATTAATTAATATGGTCCACGAAGGACCGTGGGCCCTTGTTTATAATAAGGACTCTTAGTCTATTAGGAATAAAGAATGTGGGCCTTTACTACTCAGATTCTAATTAGGAATCCTAGACCTATATACCTGTTAGGAATACAAAGTAGGTCTTTACTATTCAGACTCTGATTAGGATTCCTAACTCTATAAATAGGGGATTAGAAAGCAATTAAAACCCTTACCACCCACAGTTATATTACACGAAATTATTCCCAAGAGATTCCCCACCACCAAGCCTAGGGAAATCAATCGGATGGAAATCTTAGAGAAGAACCTTAATAGCCAATGGAGGATTAATTAACGCTAAGAGGTAACCCATGTCTTACAAAACCTATTTTCCTTGTTATATCTTATTCATTGGTTCCTTTGATAATTGTGTATGTGATTCTGTGATTGAGTCTTGATAGAGCCTTGCCTAGGATTTATATTGTGTTTATTTGATAATCTTAGTGATCTTGATGTTGTGATTGATTATATGTGTGATCTTGTATTTAATTATGTCTAGAGCTTGTCCTAGGGTTTATATCGTGAACCTCGTTGTTGTGTTGTTCTTGGTATTCTTGGGTGGGTTTATGCTTGCTCGGGTGTTGATTCTAGTCTAGGACTTGTCTTTAGGGCTTTGCATATAGATTTCTTGATGTTCTTGAGGTTCCGGATGCTCCCGAACCGTAATGTGATTGATGTCGGGTCATGGCATGTTTAGGAATCGTGTTAGAACTTATTTGGAATGATTCTTGGTTTAGTCTTCGTTAATTGAATCCTTGATGTTGTTGTTACGTGTTGGAACGTGTTTGGACATGGTTTTGAGTTGCCCGACGAACCCGAGCCGGGATTATACATTCGTACCAGTGGGGGGTAAGTGGGGGGACGAGTCCCCACCACCTACCCGCTTCCCGTACTGCCGAGTTCCAGCGGGCAGGCGACTGCCCACCGGGCACCGCTGGAAGTTGAGACCGCTGGCGGCGGGTGGCCGGCAGGTGGTCCTTCACCCGCCGCCACCCCTGGAAATTAATGGTGTGTCGTGATGTTTTTCCCCGTTTGATGTTTTCCCGTGTTCTGTTGTGTCCCGTTGTATCCCGATTGTCGTGTATGAGTCTCGTTTGATGTTTTGAATACTGTTCTAGGAATTTATGTGTAGTACGTGTCGTTGTTAAAGTCTTGATTGTCATTGATTGATTATGTGTTGATTGATTGAATGATGATGAGTATCGTGGTTATTGCGCAATGATCGATGTGACTGATGATGGTGAGATTGTGATTGGTGGAAATGAATTGTTGGTGGAAAGCACAATGAGTGCTCGGTTAGCATGCTAATGGCACGGACCACCCCTTAGACTTGCTGGCTAAAGGCTTGGGTCAGGGTATAAGCACCGCGGTCTCATGTTAGAGCTATATGCGCTAACCCCTTGGTGTTGGTACTAGAGGTACGAACCTTGCGAATGACACTTCGGTGCTACCATGTTGGTGGTTATGGAGTGGGGCATGTAGTTGCTCCGGAGGGATAAGGAAGGAGGGATAAGGGTGGCCTGGAGGTACAGGCTCGAACTGAAATAAGGATGGAGTGGAGTGAAAAGGTTGGAACTTGGTATAAGGTTGGAAGATGGTTTGTGTGACTTGATGATTACTTGCTAATTGATTATCTTTGAATCCTTTTGTTATCTCGATTTGTTATTTATGAGCTTATTTGTCTATTATGTCTTACGTTGTGTTTTTAGGACACACGCTAGCCTTTATGATTGTTCTATAATGTCGAGTATGTTATTGTGTCTCGAGTCTTGATCTTGGTTTTTTTATTTTTATATTTTTTGGTAGGAGGAAGGCCGAAGCCCCGGGAAATTAAAGTAATCTACTAAAAGCGACGTTGTTGGCGTCGTGAGCTAAAAGCGGATTCAAACCGTCCGGAGGTTGAGCAAGAATTGTAGTACCCCACTGGCTATTTTGACCCATGTTGGCAAGAAAATCGGCGCATTGGTTGCCTTCACGAAGCACGTGCTTGAGTTCGAAGGAGTGGAAAGCCTGAATCAAGGCCTTACAATCAGAGATGAGTGTGTCTGCCTCAAGAGAATTCCCAAAATCTTTCTGGAGCACATGAGTAATGGCCAATGAGTCTGTTTCAGCTTCCAGATTTCCAAACCCATTATCTCTTGCAATACGAAGACCTTCCCGGATATCAGCCAAAGCAAACCACATGTAAACCTTCAAACTCAACAATGTGCAACTTTTCCTGAAACCAGACTTGAGTTACCAGTGGTTTGTTGATATCAGCCTTGGATCATATCATGGATAATGATTATAGTTTATGCTTGTTTAGTTAGTGTAGCCTGTGCATCTAGGTTCTCAAACCTAGATGTGGCATAGCACCCGATACTTATGTTGTTAGTTCCGCTTTGTTTGGATGAATAATGATAGATTTGCCTTTATTTCATAGGCTTTAAATATTTTAAAATTTAGGGGTGTTATAGTTGAAGTTGTATATCTCGTCTCCGAAGACGAACACGCCGCCGATGAGCATCCTACTAAATCCATGGCTGACCGTCGAGCCTTCCTCTAAGCTCAAGGTCGAGCCTGCCTGAGTGCCGCCATTAAGGGGAAAGGTGTGGCCTCATTCTCCAACTCTGTCCCCCTA